ATAGATAGATAGATAGATAGATAGATAGAGAGAGAGAGAGAGAGAGAGAGAGAGAAAGAGAGAGAGAGAGAGAGGGGGGGGACTCTTCTCCATCGCACAAACAGGCCCACCATAACACAACCTGGGCTTCCGCAGCCCAGTCGCCACGAAAAGACTCAACCTGATAATCCCATTAAGCCATTTTCGCAGTTGTCCAACACTCGGGAATCGCCCCCATGAGGCGGGAACAGGGGGACCGACCAGGGAGAGCGACATCCGACTGTCGTGTTTATGGCCTCGGCCGCGCCAAATTCTCACGCCCAAACCTGGACACACTCGTCAGTAGCCCGAGGAGAAGGCTTTGGGTCACTGCTACTCCACGAAAAGGTGCAAAAACTCGGGAGATTTTCACGTGATTTATCTATCAGGGGCCCATCTTCCCCGGCGATTTTTAACGGTATGCTAAGTCGGCGATTTCCGATTATAAAACCCGGCCACGAGTCCTTCGAGTGCCGATGCCAACTCGGGACTGACGCGTTTATTGTTGTAGCTGGAAGAGATTTGAAGCTGAGACGACCGTCCAACTACTATCCTTTGCACGAGCCAGTTTATTTTGTTTCCAGACTATCAGAGTACAACGCCCTTTTTTAAATGCAGGTATTTTTACGCCCCCATCGACACAATTCAGTCCATTTGTGAGGGGGGCTTCGACCCTTCCTGTCATGGTCAACCCGGACTCAGAGGAATACAACAACGTCCTAGAAGAAAGACCGAGATCCACGTACTCGATAAGAAAAAGGAGGCAGGAGGGGGAGAAAGCCTATGTTCAAGATAATATACTGTCATTCAGTGCAAAGAAAACGAAAGGTAGGCAGAGACAACAAAGGGAAAGAAAAGAAATGGAATGTTCCAGTGGCGCCATCCAACAACAGTCTGAAGTCTATTCAGTACATGTATTGGGAAAAACAACAGGGGGTGGGTTTTTGGTTTGTTTTGCTTTTGGTCTTTTTTTTTTGGGGGGGGGGGGCGTTGCTACCTGCAGGGATCTCTAATCACCCGCTAGAAAACTTTGGCATAAAGAACAAACTGTATTGAAGGATACACATGACGAAACACGCAGTTTACAGTTTGAGGCAAAATATTTATTGCATTTCACCAAACTGTATTTGTACCAGAAGGCTTGTCATAAAAAAGGACACGTGTGTCACACGAAAAGTGGGATAAATAAATAGACTGGAACAGAGAGAGACGGAGAGAGAGAGAGAGAGAGAGAGACAGAGAGAGAG